ACTGTGCGGCGTCGCGTGGACACGGCTCACGGGCATCGACATTCACGAGGCCGGCTCTCGATTAATATAATCGACCCGTGCAAGTGATTAGAGACTTCTCAGTCCCGCTATCTCTTAGATTTCTCAACTGTAAGCATTTTTATTTATTAAACAGACCACGTATTTTACTCAAACGCCCAGAGTGTTCGATCACGTGATTTTCTACCCTCTAACGCGTGCCGTTCCCCGAGTCTCTCGTCGCAAAATTCCTCTCAGCCCTGCTTCCAACCGCAGCGGTCTAGCGAGCTCTCCTAACGAGAATCGCGAACAGAGCATGATTGTTGTAACTACCGAGTATGTAGTCGTTTAGGAGTTCTACTTTGGTGTCTATATTAGTGGCGGCATAGAGTTTCTCCCAGTTTGGCGACTCCAGTTCCTGCAAGAAAATTTCTTGATTGAAGGAGCTGAAATCGCGGACTCTGATCGTTCTTCTAGGGACTCGGTCTATTCTGATGTCGTACGTTATTCCTATGAGATCATGAGCCGACAGGAAGCAAACGTCTCGCTGCTCGTGTTCTATCAGTTTCTCTTTTTCGTCTATTATGCACAAGTCGAGTAGAGTAGAGGAGTTCTTGGTGTGGTGTGTCGCGGTGTAAGGCACCAAATAGAGATTCGACTCCTTCACAAATGTCAGTATCTGTTCTGAGTCGTAATTCTTTGTGCCTAGATCTGCGTTAAAGTCTCCGAAGACAGCCGAATGCGCGTAGTTGACCGTCAAGTCGGCATATATCTGGAGGAAATCAGCCAGATGGCCACTGTGCGGTGGTCTGTAGACAACTGCCAGAAGCATCTTTGCACGGCTGTCTATTGAGATTTCGACCATTAGATATTCAGGTCGCCCCGCGTAGTTGTTCTCTGACTGGCATATAATAGACGCTTTGAGCGCATCAGCCACGAAGACGGCGACACCCCCACCAATTTTACCTTGTCTATCACATCTTATGAGTTGGTAGCCATGAAGAGAGACGAACCTATCCGGAACACATGGTTTAAGCCATGTCTCGGACAGGCATATGCAATGGAACTCCTTGTTGTCGAAATAGGATCGAAATTCGTCCAGGTGTGCAAGCAGAGATTGGCAGTTGACATGGCATAATCTTAATAAATGTGTGGTTTCCATACCCATAGTTGATACAGCTAATCCTCTCCGATATTCTTTTCCGTAGTATGGGACAGTTTCTGTTGTCCAACGCTGAGTGTTTTGAGTCCTGTCGTGTCCATCGCTTGCAGTTTCCGCATTTCATCGTCTCACTTTTGTCCTTAACAGGGCATTCTTTTGTTTCGTGGTCCTTTGCACAATGACCACACAGCGGTGCGAAACGACAATTCTTCGCTTGATGTCCGAAAGCCAAGCATCTGTAGCATTGTAGCACTCTCACGTAGTCTGTGACTTCGCAGGCAGAGTATCCGATGAATAGAGTTTTCTTCTTTAGCAGTGTTGTACGCACGTCTGGAGGGACTTCTATGACGCAGTTTGTGTTGTGTCTGTTATTTTTGCAGGGAAACATGTACACCACTCTGACCTTGGACGCTGCAGAATTATAGAGATTTAGGGAGATGATATTAAATTTTATCTCCTCTACTGACATGTCACCTGGCACCCCGCGAATCAAGAGTCTAGGGTCGACCTTTCCCTCGTGCGTCAGCTCTAGACCCGCATTTTCTAGCTTTTTCGAGTTTTTGATTTTTGGCAGGTCCACCGTAAGTGCCTCAATGCGAACTCCGTTATTTTTAGTCGACGAAATTCTGTTAACCCTAAGATTATATTCTGATGGCTTTATTGCTTCCTGCAGTGCATCCCTTGTGTCACCAGACGACCCGTACCTCGCGGAGAAACCCTCCCTCGGGGTGATTATAAAATTCGTAGTTTTTGTCTTTGGCGTCTCCATTGCGGGGTCGCTAGTCGGTCCCGCACTGGATTTGCCTGCGGTGACAGCCGCATATGATGGTATTGAAGATGCACCAGCATCCCCAGATTCCCGCAATGTTGAGATTTCGTCCGATATGCTGGCAACAAGCCTATCGCAGATATCGTTCAACGCGTCATCGACGGTACCTCTTATAGTCTCAGTAAGCCATGTTTGCTGTGATTGTGAATTGTTCTCTATTAGATTGAGATATGCAGTTGAGAGTTCTACGAACGCTTCCTTACATTCACGGAAAGCCGACTCGATCAACATGCGCTTTTCGAGAGACTCCTTGCTGGACAGGAGCAGCTTAGAGATACCGTCGTGATGCTCATTAACCGAATGCCTCAATGCCACTACTCTCGCGGCGCTCACGAACGAGTCCGTCGCCGCGCAGGTCTTGGCAGGCGAATTGGATGTCGTAGGTCCGCGTTGTTTATGCTTATTAGCCGTACTTTTGTTTTTGTCATCCTTGTTTAGTTCGCCGTCCTCCAGACTGTCTACAGCGGTGGTCCGCTCTGCTACCTTCTTCTTTCCCGTCGACATGATCCAAACGAACCAATCGAATACGGGTACGCATGCGTACTTTGCTCCCAGCGAGTGCGAGAAACCGAGTCCGAGAGGCGAGATTACTCTTATTTAATGTGTAATATACCTCAGTGTGACTTAACTTCTTTAGTGGTTGATGGCGAGTAGTGCGGCCATGCAGTCTGTGCACTAGAAAAAGGCGCCCCAAGGGGCAGCAAACAGCAGTAACAAGGAAGGGGGGGGGGGAGAGAGAGAGAGAGAGAGAGAGAGAGAGAGAGAGAGAGAGAGAGAGAGAGAGAGAGAGAGAGGGAGGGAGAGAGAGAGGGAGAGAGGGAGAGAGAGAGAGAGAGAGAGAGAGTGAGAGAGTGAGAGAGTGAGAGAGTGAGAGAGTGAGAGAGTGAGAGAGTGAGAGAGTGAGAGAGTGAGAGAGTGAGAGAGTGAGAGAGTGAGAGAGAGAGAGTGAGATTGATTGATTGATTGATTGATTGATTGA